GGTACAAGCAAACAAACATCATCATCAAACATTATACATATATCTATCATAATACAACTGTGTGTGTGTGTGTGTGTGTGTGTGTGCGCGCACGCTTGAACCTACTTAACCATAATTTTGGGGACAGATTTGTACCCAAAGTGAGCTAAACCTGACAAAATCTCCAAAAACCTCCTTATGTTAATGCCCTGTTTAATTTGTAAAAATGGCAAGTAAGTAAATAAATAATGTAGATATTTTTATGAAATGTAATTAATATTTCATAGAGAATGGTATGGAGAATGGATAGATGGGTGAATTAATTTGTAAATTTTTTGTATATGTTATATTATATATATATATATATGGGTGAATTAATTTGTAAAAATGGCAAGTAAGTAAATAAATAAATACAATTTTTGAAATTTAAAAATATTTATTAATATATATATATTTTAATTTATTTTAGATTTATATTACCCACTATATTTATGTGTTTTAAAGTATATATACATAATCAACATATGTACATTTTTGTGACAACTGCTGGGTGATGATAATTGGATGCCATTTGCGGAATTAAACATGCAGCATAGTGAGATCAATGTTGTATAGCAATATACTGTATAGCAACAATTCCATTCTCAACAACAAGTGATTTTGCACTGATGTCTCACACATAGTGCATGTCTATCTCTCTCTTCCTGCAGAAGCTGAGCCTGGTGCATGTGAACAGTAATCAGTGTTTGGATAAGGCGTCCGAAGATGACAGTCAGGTGCCCAGCGTCAGGGACTGCACCGGGAGCCGCTCGCAGCAGTGGCTGCTCCGCAACGTCACACTGCCCGAGATATTCTGAGCTCGCACACAGACAGACAGATGGACAGACTCTCACACCATCACTGATGGAGAGAATGTGAGAGAAAGGACTGCTTTCCTCTCAATCCTGGTGGTCTGCCTTCAAATGATCTCAAAGAACAGAACCGCATATGTATATGAATCTTCCCATCACTCCACCTTGCAGAGGAAAAGAAAGAATGATGGAGAGAAAGGCTCATGGAGAAAGAAACTTGAGTTTGATGCCATTATCCTCCTCGTTCGAGGAGCTGCGGGCATTTTGGTTATGTTTACGAGAACGCCTCCCTTTTAGAGTATCAGTGTGTGTTTGTGTGTGTGTGAGACGGGAATGTGTGAGTCACAGTGTTTTCCACAGGAGTTTCACCCTTTTTCTTAATTTAAGTATTTTTCAAGCCTTGTAGATATGAAGGGTATCTAGCACATGAAGGAGAGGCTGATGTGTGTCTGAGTGGATGTGTGTGCATGTGAGATTTCAAGTGTGTCACATATCAGGATGGATCTCCTGTCTGTGGACATTACAGTGGTTTGCTATCCGTTTGAAGCAGGGGCTCCCTCTACTGGCCACCAACACACACTGACCTGTCTGTCAATCTTCATCTCAGCCAGTGGACTACCAATAATCAATCCCCATATAGGTTTATAATTAATGAAAAGGATGACTGATCGTCTAGGACGTTTTTCATATCATCAGTGCTCATGTAACTTTTTTAAACCAGTGGTTGATACTTTTTTTTGGTTTCTGCATTTTTGAGTGCCACGTACAAGCAAGTCTGTCTCTTAAAGATATGATGGTAATTTCACCCCTAATTGTTGCCTGCCTTTGGGTTCCAGCCGACATGGTTTACCCATAAGCACATGGGTTGATCGGGAAGAGATGGATCATCTTCTGTCATATCATCCAGCAGTACAAGGGCTCGGTCTCACTGTGTACATGCACGAGAAAGAACACTTTCGTCTGATATCTTTCTTTGTTTACGTTCACTTCAAAATTGTTACTGATTTTGTGTAGAACTTCTTTAATTCATCAATGCATTTGGCATCTGAAGGTAAAAGTAGGCTGCTCGCCACATTTCAGCAGATGTCTTTAAACAGTTTGATAGCCTAAAGAGATTGTCCTGCATTTCAGATTCATGCATTTCATTCTTCTGATTTTATTTTTAAATGATCTGAGATTTCATTTGAACTGTGATGGTTGAAGTGAACCCCTCTGTTTTGAGATTTGCCATGTGGAATCAGGAATCAGTTTTTTTTTCTTGACCCTGTCCAAATACATAAATGATCTGTACTCTTTTGTGTCCCGGTCATTAGTCCGTTTTTTAACTGGATTTTCCAGTAGTCTTGATAGAAACTATGGCTGCGTTTACACTTGGCATTAACATGCGATCACCGTGATCCGATCAAGCAGATCGGATCATCAGTCAATCAAGACACACGGGGCGTTTACACTTGGCAACATCAACTGAATTCTCTATCTGGATAACCGATCGGTTCTGTCTTTCCCGCGCAATATTTAAATAAGTCTGCAGAGGGTGGCCCCGGTGCAAAGTCGACCTGAAGTGGTGGGTTTTCTTTTGAAAACCATTTTCACTCGCGGGACATTTTACAAATCCCGAAAGACGAGGAGGCTGCAGTTATTAATAAGGTGGATATATTCCGTTGTGGAAACGGTAAAAAGAAACATATTTCTTCTGACAGTTCGCGAGAGAGGGGGCGGGGTTTTGCGTGAAGTCCACCTGCGAATGCAGACACGATGGCTGGATTGCGTTTACATTAATGTCTCTGAAAAAAAAAAAAAATTTTAATTGCAAGATTCTCGATTCTAAAACAAAAGATTCAAAATAAAGGTTGTACCGGTAAATTGAAAAATTCTAAATTGTAGGACTGTAAATGCACATTCTAGATTCTAAAAAAATATTCTGAAGTGATTCAAGATTGCAAATAAAAGGGCAGTTTCACTGCAGAGGATGGGTGAAGATCTTGCAAGTATTTGGACAGGGCCTCAAGATCATCTGTAGAGATGTGTGAACAAGTGTGCCTGTGTTTATATTTGTCAAAGGGACTTCTTATGTTTTTGTCTTTTTTGTTTAATTATGAGGGTCTGGCCTGCTGATTGGTGGGTTAGAGAGCCCTGTGTTGTGATGATCCACAGGCTGGAGAAATAAACCACAGAAAGTTTACAGTCCAACTTCTCAGTATCCTTTATGATGTTTGTTCATGTGCACAGTTTCATGGTTAAAAAAAGTTCCAGAAATCCAAAATCAGCTGCGATATCATTTTATTATTGTTATTATTATTCAATTGTTTTATTGAGAACTGCTCAGTTGGTTTTAGTTTCACGGCAGTGGTTTGTTGTTGCACAATGGGGCACCATGCGGGGTTGTTAAGGTATTGTGTAGGGTTTTATACCCTCAAGCTTAAACATTATCTATTCTTCAAAAGTGCAAGGTTCAAGTTTCATGGTTAGAGTTTTGCCTTGCTTTGGTTTATCACTTGGTGGCACTGTCATAGACCTCCTTAAATACTCTCACACTAAGATTTCACACCCCTGCACTCACAAGAACACTTGCAGTTACTCTAATGATCTAATTAGCCAGTGTTTGCCTTAGAGAAATTAAATTGGATAAACTCATTAAAATATATTCTATTTCCATATTTCGTTTTTACTAGAAACATAGACGTTGGCTTGATTGGTCTGATTGGTTGACAGTGACTAGTGAGTGGTGTAAGGTTTGAAATGAAGAGTTTCTTCTGGTAACCTGGCGCTTGTGCCATGCCTTTAAAATGGGTCAATATACAGTAGTCCACCAATATGTCAGGTTTCATGTGCAGTATATGTTGTAATTGCTGTTATACATAAAAAATAGCTTTGAAGCATCAAATTTGAGCACAAAGGAACTTGACTGTAGATCTGTGTTAGTAATTTAGAAAAGCATTTGGCTGTTTCAGATTTAAATAGTTATTTCATTTTCTTTCTTATTTGATGTGATAAAAATATATATAAAAAAATGGAACACTGGAATCTTACAAACAAAAAACAAAAGCCTCACAAACCAAAACTGCACGTCCCCATGTTCCTACTGTTCATTTAACAGATGACCGACTCAGCGATCAGCTTCTCACATTCACTCACACTGCACCCGAGATAGAGAGATAGTCAATAGCCCAGTTCAGCGTAATTGAGCGAGTGAATGGCAATCGATTTCAATCCCACCTCAATCCTTTCTGAGGTGGCGCAATTTATAGCTTTCTGATATGATGGTGTGAAGAATGGCAGAGGGCGTGTGAACTCATCAGAGGGCATCTGAGGTCAAAGCCAAAGCTCATTGTACGTGAGAAAATCTCGAGCTCACATTATTCAACAGTTAATTCCGGCCCTCAAATTTGACTTGAACAGCTCTGGGACTTTTTCTATTTATATCACTCTGCTTGTATTGAGATATGTACAGCTGCAGACCTGCAGTGCCATACGTGGCAGCAGTTTTAAACTAAAAGTGAAAAGACCGACCTGAAACTGCTGTCACTAGGACTGAGTCCGATTCCGATTCTGTTGTTTTCGATTCTTGTTTTTTTTAGATTGAAGGAACCTAATCTCACCATGGTGACTGCAGGATAGGTCGTAGAATGTATCCTTCTCATAATATGAAGCTTTATTTGTAAAAAAAAAAAAATGACGATACATAAATTG